AATTCTGGTAGTAATAGTTTCTTGGAGGTCCCGGGACTGCAAATATGCTTCATTTTGTGTGTTAAGCTGCGCCTGCTGGTTCCATTCCAGTAACGGGTCTAGTAGCAAAGGTGCGTGGTAAAATCTTTAATGATGATCGTCCCAGCATTGTATTGGGAACAGATTACACAAATGCAAAATCGCTCTTCATGTATTTACCTACCGTACGGTAGCTATCTGTACTATGGAACACATTTTTTCATCACGTTTTGTTACGAGTTTGTTCTGTACCAGGACGAAACATGCAGTCGAATGAAAATACTGGCAACTGGGAGGCTGGAATATTGAACGATCATAACAAGCTGAATCGCCAACGTCTATCTGAAGGACTTTACAGCAGACCTGGTGAATGCCAACTACGAGTATTGGAATCAACCCGGAGGAGAATCAAAGAAGACAACAGCGGTGTCACATCGTCTAAGACTACCAGAGAAGCATCCACGGCCCCTTCTTCTAATGGAAATAATTTGTGGTGGTCATTGACGCTCAGCAGGCTGCACTTTCGAAAATGAGAAACGTCTATGGAGGCAGCTTGGTTCGTTCGTCACGAGGGTATGGATTCAAGCGAAAACAACGAGCCTTCCGAACGTTTTGTATCTTCCAACTCCTGGGAAGTTTGGTATGTTCGGGTCTCTTGATGAGTTTGTGGTTGATGGCTCAATTGGAGGAAACCTTGAAATCAAATATTGCTACTCCAGATAAGATGGGAAAATTACAGCGACCAAAAGAACCATTCAAGAGGACTACTTCCAACGACTTCCTTGCATACGATTACGAACGAAAATCATCGCGACAGGCGATGCACCATCCTCCGGAGACCGAACAGATGAAGAGCCTTGTTGGCAACCCGGGGTCTCACCCATCCATTGAAGAGAATACGAATGGAAGTGTCATCAACCAAATCACATGGCGACAACGGAATCAATTGATTTCGTCTCCATCGCCATTGTTTCCGCTTCTTCCTCCGTCCCTCGACTACCTAGGGGTTCTGATAGACGCAGGTCGCCATTACTTTCCAGTGCCATGGCTCTATCAACATCTTCGATACCTGCACGACTTGGGATACAATTATATTCATTTCCGATTGACTGACGATCAGAACTTTATTCTCAACATAACAATACCAAAATTGGGTATAGAGAGAAGGAACAGAAGTATTTCTGACACTAGTTTCGCGTTCGTTGCTCGTTGGGAGCAGGAACAAAAGAATCTCCACGGCACCCATAATGGCACAGCCGACGAAGGGGACAGGCACGTCTATTACCAGCCGCATGAGCTATCGAAATTTGTTGAGTTTGCAAGAGACGAATACAACATAACCGTCGTTCCAGAAATCAATGTCCCGGGCCATGCGGGTGCTTGGGGGGCCAACACGGCGGTTCCAGATCTTGTCGTGTCGTGCCCCAAGTTCGCCTGCTCGAATGGCTACGGTGTCCCACTGAACCTGACGCATCCAGAGTTACCAAAAATACTTGAACACGTACTGACCGAAGTGGTGGAAATCTTTCACCACCCTCCCTTCTTGCACCTCGGTGGAGATGAGCTGCACATGTCTCTGCCTTGTTTGGAGGAGGCGGGCATCGCGGATACATCTTCTTGGCTATCGGATAGCGTTGCACGCTTTGAAAAAGAAACCCTTGGACCCATCGTGGAAGGCCTAGGCTACGGTCCCCATCAGATACTTAGATGGGAAACACCAAACCAAAAACGAAGGTCGGAACCGGAGGAGTATCGATTTGGCGGGATCACCCACTATTGGGAATCAACTCCTCCCTCACAAAACGACGGGAGGGGTGATGTGACTCCGTACATGGTTTCGACAGGACTATATCTAGATGTTATGTCGACCAGCAAGATCTACGGATACGGAGATTTTTTGGCCGCGCAAAAGCTGGTTTCCGAGGCGCGGTCGAATCCACCGTTTGCCATTGTGGCGGGGGCTTTTGAATTGGGAACTGAATTTTGGGAGGATCGCAACGTTTTGGGTCGACTCTTCGCGATTCGAATGGGGGTAGCAACGGCCTCCGAAACGCCATCGGAAGCCATCCCTCGAACGCAATACGAATTCAAGTCACAGTATCTTTCCAAATGCAAGTCGATCTTCCACTTCTCCAATGCCGATTCCATATGTGAAAGTGCAGGTCTGCCTCTTTTGGAGGATCGGAGCTACCAAGCGAAGTGGAAGCTGTTTTGGAAAGAATGGAAGACTGGATTATGCGAGTACGTTGTTATCATTTTGAGATTCGAGGGGGATGCTATTCAGTCTACCGGCTTTCTAATCCAGCCTTCCTTCTTTGTTTCTCATTTTCCTCAAAAATCTCTTTATTGGATTCATTCAAAAATGCAGAGGGCTGACATATCCAGAGCAATCACCTCACATCCACCCATCATCTGTAGATCCGAAAGTACAACGAACTGCTAACCACAATTTCTGGGAAAGTGTGCTATCTTCGTCTCAATCTCTCGGAGTTACGAGGCAACATATTCATACAAATGTCACTGCACCAAAGTCCATTGATAGCAACATACCACATGTTGGATTGGTAGTAAATCTAGTAGAGAATTCCATCTCTCAACAAAACCTTTTTCGGTTGCTTCAAACGATAGAGCTTCTGGGTATGAATTTGATCCAGTTGAACCTTGCAGACGACTTCGGACAGGTTGTGGAGTACGATTCCGTCTCTGGCATTGGATACAGTACTGCACTCTCGGAAGCAAATCAGAAGGACGCAAAAATAGCACTGCCCCTATACGATCGCCATCGATTGGAACAGATTATAGGTTGGGCTTATCAAGCCGGCATTCAATTGGTACCTGAAATCAATCTAGCAACCAATGGAGGTGGCTGGTTCAAGACCGGAATGCTAATTGACTGTCCCAAAGTTTTGTGCGAAAAGGGCCACGGAATTGCCTTTGATGTGATCAATAAGATCGAAAGCGTATTGCCGATCGTGCTGTCTGTAGTTGCCGAACTACGAGACATATTTTCGGCTTCTCCCTTGAACAAATTCATGCATCTAGGATTCGATGAACGGGAGATGGCGGTAGGTGGGTGTTTTTCAGAATCAGGGCTCGATGCCTCCGAAGTGCACGCTGCCTTGCATAGATTTGAAACCAAATTGTTTGACGCCATCTCTCTCATTGGAGCTGACCATCACAATATAATTCGTTGGCAAAATGAAGAAAAAGTAGAATATCGGGATCGCACTGGAAAGATTACTCAGTTTACCAGCATAGATGACTTAGCGGATAAATACGACAGCATTTCAGACCTCACTCCGTTTTTTGGAACGGTGCTCATTACGGAAAAAAATACACCATGGGAGGTGTATCAAGCGACTCTATGCTGGACAACGAAATCGTCACCTCCACATGGTTTGGTTGCCAAGGGGACTCATGGGCAAGTTCCGCAGATTGATCAACTCGTCGCATTTACTATGGGGCTTAGAGACAGAGCTAAAACTGATACTACTTTTGATGGTTTTCAGACCGACTTTGCAGTCGCTTGTGAGAAACTACGATGTAGAGAAGCTGCACAATATTTTGGAAGAACTGCAAACAATAGAGCACAATTGAAGGACTTGAATCTGAGAGAGTCATGTATAGAAAGAACTACCAATACTACCTCAAGGAGATCTAAAAAGTGACGAAGACATTCCTTTTCTAGTAATAGTAGTTTTGATGAAGTACTACTACTAGTACTAGTAGTAATTGCGACTTTTTGGCTCGTAGTAACTACCTTGACATATTTCTCACGTGTGACCATAGGTTAACCTTTCAAAGTATCATTTGCTTCATAAACTGATCTAGATTGTTTGAAAACAAGAGATGAGAGTATTCAGAAGTAACTCCGCTGAATCTAAATCAATAGCTCAGTACAAAACCTATTTTAAAAATAGAAACTAAAGAAGCTCCGAATTGGTTTGTTGATGGGAATAATCGGATGGATGGATAATTTCGACTAAAAACATGAACACTTGACCATTCATTTCCTTGTCACCAACGCGCTATTTTCGCGCTGATATTGGATACGCCCCACCTAGAAACGTCACGACCTGTTTTGTCAAACGAACTGACGCTTGAATTTTGAAAGAAATAAATCAGTCGCCCGCCAATCGTTAAGCTAGCTGAAGACACAACATCACTCCTGTCATCCTTAAGTGTCTCTCGACCGAATCTGTCGTTGAACGAATCACAAACCGAATCAATCAATCTAGAGTACCAATCTCTCGTTTATCGCAACGATTGCCATCAATTGAAAAACCATTTTGAACACAAGCTAATTTTGATTTGTTTAGGATAGAATAGTGGAGGATGAGTGGAAATCGCCTTATCTCAAGAATACCGAAGTTAGGAGGCACGCGACAATTACCTTATGCGGTCCTCGCCGTGGCTGCTACCTCGATAGTAGGTATATTGGCATCAAAGAACAACAATGCCCAAAAAAGAGAAGAGGAAGAATCTCCGTGTTTGATCGGTCATCAGAGTGAAGGAAAGAACACTGTAGACCTAGGCGAGAGAACGAAAACATCAGGGTCTACGCCATTATGTAAGACAACCAACAGCAATCTTTCCGCTTCCAGGCATCTCAAGGTCATAAAGAACTCGATGGCGGCAGCAACTACTGGCATGGATACCTGCTTATGCGAACGACGAACGCAACAGGTTCCCAAAAACGACCCCGATAACTTTGATTTCAACGCTGCCCTGGGCAGTCCTAAGAGTAAGAGACCACAATCGGTCTTGACCCAAGATAAAACCACCGCCCTTGTGCGAAAGCACAGGACCCTCCGCCTCTTGGACAAATATAAGACCCAATCCTCGGTGGATTCAAAATACGAATGGGACAAGGAAAAAATGATTGGAGAGGGCGCTTACTCCAAAGTCTATAGAGCAGTCTCGAAAGAGGATGGAGAGGTGGTGGCGCTCAAGAATATTTCAAAAAAGTACACAGACTCGCAATACTTCCAACAAGAAGTAGAAGCCATGCTATACATCCAAGAAAAGGGAGGTCATCCCCACCTCATCTCCCTGCACGAGCATTTTGAGGATGGAAATTCGTACATTTTGATTCTTGATTTTATTCAGGGCGGGGAGTTATTTGATCATTTGATTGAGATGGGTGCCTATTCTGAGATGGATGCATCCAGAATCGTTCGGGAAGTGGCGTCGGCTCTATTGTATCTGCATGGGATAGGTTTGGTACACGCCGATCTCAAGCCCGAGGTATGTGATTCGTTTGCCTTAGTCGAACGCGAGAATACCTTGTGGTTCTGATATGTTTTTGTTGTATCATCTATGTATTAAGCTTTTACGTGTGGACAACAGCATATTGCCAATTGAGAGTGCAATCGGTTGTGGTTAGATCTAACATTTTTGTTCTGAAAAATGCCTCCGGTCTTGATATCGTTCTTGCCTATATTTACAACGCATTCTATATGAACGCACTTAGAATGTTTTGTTGACAACGACGCGACGAGGAGATTCCGTGGTCAAGGTAGCAGATTTTGGGACTGCCGTGTTTGTGGGGAACGACACTGGTACAACTGTAACAAACAAAAAGAAATTGAAACCCGAGCCAGTTTACGGAGCTCCTACACCTGCATACTCACCACCAGAATCCGTCCTCCGGACAGAGCCTATACAGCCCTCCATGGACATGTGGTCTCTCGGGGTCATCCTGTTCATCATGCTCACTGGTTGCCACCCTTACGATGTCAGTGGGGAATCTACAGATGAGGAGATCGAAGCACGAATCAAGTCAACGAAATACCGAATACCAATTAACGATCGAGAAATTGCCGGCCATCTATCGAAGAGTGCAAAGGATCTGATAACGAAACTAATGAATCGTGACCCAAAGAAACGTCTGACGGCCTACCAAATGCTCCAGCATCCATGGGTCAGAGGAGAAACAGCTACGACAGCAATCATTCAAGGAAGTGACCAGCGCCTTTCGAAATTTCGTGTCTTCAAATCACGACTGCAGGCTAAGTTTTTCGAAAATGCTATCCGTTGGAGTGATATGAGCCACGATGCAGATGCGAATGCCAAACGGAAAACAAGTTTGATTGAACGATCGTTTAAAGCATTCGATTCGGACAAGGATGGTCATGTGTACGCAAAAGATGTGTTGGGAACAGACGAAGACAACATTGAAGAAATTGTAGAAGGAGGGGGACCAACGATCAATATTTCCGATTACGAAAATCTGTTGAGCGAAAACATGGAGAATAAGTACTTTGCAGCGGGACATACTATATATGAAGAAGGAGATGAGGGACATGCAATGTATTTTTTAGAGAGCGGAGCGGTGGAAGTAATCGCAGACGGAACGAGGGCCGTTCGAACGAGTGGAGACTTTTTTGGAGAGGGGGCTTTGCTACATCCCCGCAATGTTCGGTCGGCGACTCTTCGATGTTTAACGCCCGTCCACGCATTAAAAATCAGTCAAGAATATTTTGAGAAGTACATCGCATCTTCAAGTTCGGGCTTGTACCTAACCTTGAAGGAAAAGGACAAGATTCGGAAGCGGAATCGTGCCAAGACCATTCTCAGAATGCAGGCAGGCTTGAAGACTGCAGCAAAACCATGCAAATCTAAGTTTTATGTAGAAGGAGACCACGGAGATACCATGTGGATTTTAGAAAAAGGAAAGGTCGATATTCAAGTTGCAGGTGGCAAAGCCGTTTTCTCGGTTTATCCCGGTAACATTTTCGGTGAGCATGCTGTCATAACAGGCAATAGCAGAAATTGTGATGCAGTTTGTGTATCGAAAGAAGGTTGTGTTGCACAGGCACTACAGGGACGGGAATTCCGCAAATTGCTGGCGTCTTCCACAAGTGTGCAAGATTCCCTGAAAGAATTGTATCTACGACGCGAATTCAAGAAAGCAATTGTGATGAGGATGCGAAAGAACTTTCCCTATGATGACCCCGAGGAAGCTTTTGCTGCCGCCGACGAAAAACACGTGGGACGTTTAGACAAAGGAAATGTTTCAGCATTAATGAGAGAGATGAATCCAGACTTTACTGACGAAGAAGTTGAGGGCGTCATACACGCCTTAAACCTAACCGGATCAGGCAGCGTCACATTTGAGGAAATGAAAAAGGCTCTTATAGGCGACATAAGGACTCATGCTTCTATGTGAATAAGAAGTAAAGACTTAAAAAGTTACGTTGTATTAATACTTCTCTGATAGCCGTTTTTAGGAATGGTTTATTCCGAATGTCTCTATTTGCGAATGGAATATTTGTCGTGGAATACCATACGCCGATAAAATATACAGAATAACTATTCAAATACATCACATTACTACACCGTTTGTTTCCATTCAGTAAGTGGAAATATCGATTGTGCATGGTATCAATTGTTTCCTGACAACAGGGTTTTGTGTTGAAGAAATGGCAAGTTCATCATGGAGAACCTGGAGGTGTAATGATGAAAACATCAAATAATCTTAACTCAAACGATTAAATCAATTATGCAAAATGTAATTCAGGCTACTAATGTTACAAGAGGAATTAAGTTGCACCAATATACTTCGGTGATAACCATTTTAGATCATTATATTCCCCAACTCTCCATTCTTAAGACATGGATTTCTTCTTTTTCTTTTTCTTCTTTTCTGCTTTCTTTTCCTTCTCATCACTATCATCATCAGCTACTTTTCTCTTCTTCTTCTTAGGGGCATCTTCCTCGTCGTCATCACCTCCCTTTGATTTGCGCTTATCCTTCTTCTTCTTCTTCTTCTCTTTCTCTTCCTTCGAAGGTGAAGCATCATCAATTATCATATCACTAGAATCATTGTAGTTTGCCCCAGATGCAGAGGTCTTGGCTGCAACTGGATCGTATTTTGCAGTCTTCTTTGCCTTTAAGTTACCGTCGGTTGCCCCGACACTTCCTCCCTCTAGTTGCCGTAAACGGGCTTCGACCTTAGCTCGTCCCTCGTATCCAACAGTAGTGTCGGTTTGTTCTGTTTGCTCATCGGAAAGGGCATCGACACGGATACCGAGAGCGCACTTAGCCGCAAGTACGCGACTGATCTTTCCTTTGTTCTTGGGTGCGGCCTGGCCCACTAAAGAGGCGTGGTAAATTAAACCATATTTTGGTGTATCACTCTTGGTTTTGAGCGCACGGAAAAGAGCCTTCTCGGCTCCCAATATTTGAACTGTAGAAGCGGGTTGCTTGGCGAGGTTCATAAGCGATCCAGCATGAGAAATGAGCCGGGCACCCACCAGCTCTCCAACCAAAACGGTGAGATTGGGTGCAATAGCATTCATTCGGTTTTTGAGGTATTCGAATAGTTGTGCACGATATTCCGACATGGATAATACCTGCTCTGCTAGTGCTTGAATGTTAATAATGTCCAATTCAGCAATTTCAGTTCCCATACTCACTTCTGCGGCTTCTTTCACAGCAGCCTCGAGGGTTTCGTCGTCTAAGATCTCACCAAGGTCCGTCTTGGCATAGTTTGGTCTCATTCCGCATTTTAGTACCAACTTGGAGTACTGAGCGTTCTCACTCAATATGGCTTGGAGTTCGGGGAAATGCCAGCCGTACCATTCCTTCACTCTCATGGCATACGTATTGATTTCCTTATCAAGCTCGTCCAGCAATCCTACAGCTTGAACAACCATCGTGTCGACCTTGTCGGCAGAAAACTTGAGTTTGTATCGACTCAAGGAGTGTGACAACCCCAATTGCATAGCTCTCAAGTCCTCCTTTTGCATTCCTCCGTCAGTGTCAAATAGCTCGTCCATGTAACAACGCAATCCTCGAAATAACTCATTCGTTTTGTCATCGGCAACAATTTTTGTTCCGTCTCCCAATGTATCCTTGAGGGCAACGCCAAGAGTCTTGTCGGCGACTGCCAATGATGATGATGCCGCTTTTTTCAATTTCTTCTTGAGAAAAGACTTCAGAGTCTTCGATACCTTGCCCTCCAAGAGGCTTGTAGCTGCTGTCACAGCATCGGCCGTGTCTTCGAAAGGTTGAAAACTGAGCAGAGACATATATTTCGAAGCCTTTTTGCTATTTTCGAAGAAAGTTTCATAGATATCTTCGGCGTCGGTTTTCTTGAGTTTCTTCTCGTCAGCAACCTATAATGTGATGAATTTAATGGTTAGTTACATCATAATTTGAAAAAGCCTGCTGCGCAGTGTTTTATGTCTCAACCTGAAAGATGCTGCACGACAACTAACCTTGAAAAGAGAATACCCCGCTGGAGTTTCAAATAAGACCAACATGATGATAACTTTCTAATTAAGAGCGTTTATTGCCGACTGATGCGTGCGATGTGCGAAGGATTCTACCTGTATCTTGTCAATCCAGTAGGATGCAAGGAATTACTACAGAATATAGCTTGCTTTTGAGTATGGTTTCTCTCTGGTTCGGTGCTTCAAAACACTGCTAGAGAGGTGCCGTCGTCTAAAGAATAGTATATGATAGATTTGAAGCTGAAGTTGGAATTACTTTAGTTCGGTCGAACTTGGTTGGATATGTGATTGTTCGTGGTATTGATAGAGCTAGTTGATTGATGGATGATTGATTGATTGGCGTTTGGCAGCTTGCTTTTCGGATTTGGGTTTTGATCCGGTGACAGGACAGCGCTACATCGATGGTCGAGAGATCTGCCATGCTTGCACGGAGGATGCAAGACGGCAGCGCGAATATTAAAAGAGATGAAATCGCGCGTGTTGCGTTATGAACCTTACTGTACTCTTATTAGATACGAGTAGAAGGTACGAATATGTAAAACAAGGAACAAGGTGAGTTTTTCGTGCATAGGTTTTTCAGGTTTTTCTCTTCTCTTTTTCACACGGTGACGTCATAAGTTTGAGTCTCCTGAACAAATCTTGTCGGGAATGGGAGCTTAGTTAGCCCTTCTGCATTTCATGAAAATTGAAGTATGTTGCTTCAACAACACATCACCACGAGGAGGCAAGCTAATTCATTCTCAGAAGCTTTTTTAACGTGATGATATTTGAAAACCAGCTGTCTGTTCCTTGAGTCCATATTACACCAACCTAAAGCACTCGAGAAAAAGGGACGACTACATACAACCATATCCACTCATCGCGACCATGGTTCGACATTTCGCATCATCGACCTTCGTTGTCATATTGGCAGTAATTGCGGTAGCTGTTATTAATAGCTCTATCGTCAGCGGGTTTTCTACGAATAATGGGAGACAGTCCAAGATGTCAACGTTACTCTCGATGAACAGCATGAATACCATTGAGACCACTCCTGATATTGAGTTCAATATGTACGAAGGAATAAAACCAAGCGAGAATTGGGAATTAGATTGTTACAGTCGTCCGGTCTTGACGGCTGGAGGCAAGAAGTTGTGGGAGGTTTTGATTACCGATTCGACCGGGAGCTTTCGATTTTGCAAGACGCTCCCCAGCAACAAAGTGAACTCGAAAGAAGTCAGACAAACGGTGGAAGATTTGATGGAAGATCCCAATATTGATGTAAAACCATCAACGATTCGATTTTTCCGTGGCGCCATGTTCAACATGATCAACATCGCTCTTAATGAATTGGACGTAGTCGGAAGACCCTCTCGGTGTACCAATTCTATTGCGCAATGGCTGGAAGAAAGACACAGAGACGTCTACCCAAATATGGAAGGGTAAGGAAATCATTTTGAAGTTGATTATTTTGGAAGACCACTCAAAAGATATTTTCAATGGGGCGATTGTTTATTGACGAAACGCAAAATAAAACGACATCGAAAATGTATGAGTTTTTATTTTTTTGGATATGCACAGGATTGAAAGAGAGAAAGAAGATACTATCCAATCTTCATTGAGGATGCCGTTATTCGCAATTTTTCAAAATGCACTTTCATCTCGTTTTTTCTTTCATTGCCTTCTCACATGTTTTGTTTCTTTGTTATTGGGTCGACTGCATCGATGTTTGCAAACAACGAAGCTACCGCGCCCAAATGGGAGTAGGAAGTGGATTGGCATCAGGAGGTCCCTCCTTCTTGAATGTTCGAACCCCCGTTAAAATGCCCGATTCCTTGAGAGGAGAAAAGTACGCATTCGTTGCCCTACCTCTTGCAGAACTCTTGCCCGGTGGCAGCATCACCAGCGAGAACATTGGTGTGGGACGTTTGTGCCCTATTCCAGAAAATTTATCGGGCGACATGCCCCCCGCCGACACCTTCGTGCAGGGGATTGTCATTTTGACCCAACGTCCGGATGCCCTGGCGGCCTGGTTGGCGGGAACCGAATTGGCCTCCATGTCGTGTGATTTGCGCAAGCGCAACGTGATCATGGAGACCGATATCGACACGCGATATCTGATGGCTCGACTGAACGACCAGCAACGAGAGGAGGGCGTTGCCTTTGAGGAAGGCAAAGATGCTCTGGACGGATTGCATTTTGTATGTGTCCAACGCGATGAGGACGACGACCCAGCCGGATTCTGGCTGATGCGTGATCTTCCGTCGGGGATCTAGATTCGTCAAAACCATGAGCGAAAAAACTAGCACCAAAAACTTATTTTAGATGCGGGAGAGAGACGCCTGTATACCCTATATTGATAGTACGCCGGCATGTTTCTATGATATTATGGGCACTCTATGATCGAGTAGGTCATGGTTCTCTCTTCAGTAATTTATTCTAGAATTGTGCTTTGGAGCACGAGTAGGATATCATTGAATACCCGTGTTCGCAATCGTTTACCATCTACTTGAACCAATATACCAAAAATAAAGCACATTCGATTTCTTCACCAGTTTTTTTATTTTGAGCTGGTACTCTTCTTCTCTAGAGGTGGAATTCCGTAATCTGTTACGCCAAACATGACGACTCTGGTGGTCTCATTGCGACGGAAGAAAGAATACAACCAAAGAGTGTCAGCAAGAAGGCGCAAAGCTTAAAATGGTTGAAACAAATACACATCGCAATACAGGCCACAATTGATTGCCATACAAATACGCGTATGTCTGGTACGCATCAGGCGAATAAAATGTCGCAGCACCCCGCACCCCACCGAAAAAAACAAGCGAAAAGATTAGCACACACTCACGTTCCCGAGTCCGACACGGTCGCCACCTTGAGCGGGATTCCGTTGCACTTGTCCCGCACCAGGGCCTTGAGGTCGGAAAATCGAACCGTGGGCACGTTGAAATAGGTCGCCGTAACGTAAAAATCGGGGAGCCCCGGGTGTGTCTTTCCAAAGTTCGAGTTGGGCGTGTAGGCGTCCCAGCAGAGGGCCAATGCGCCGCTGCCGCTGCCGTTGGGGTCCGGGATTGCTGGGGGCGGGGCGTTCTGGATGGATTCCCGAATTCTCCGGCGGAGGCGGAGCGACTGCCTGCGGGGATTCCTGAGCGGCGGCAACGGATCGCTGTCTCCACTTGTCTTCTCTTGCTGTACTTGTTGTTGTTTCTGCCTCTCGATCTGCCGCTTCCTCCGCTCTTCTTGGTCTTGCTGCTGCTGGCACAATATATCGTAGCGATCGGGGTCGTGCCTAAGCACCCGAAAATCTTGGGACCGAAGGTGCGAATAAACCCGGTACACCGAAAGGCTGATTCCCATCGACGGTAGCAACTGGTAGAGCTGAGATGTAGTGAGTGGGGTTGCGCCAGAAATGCCATTGGTATTGGCATCGGCCGTTCCTCCGCCTTCTTCTTCGCTTGCCAGTAAGGACGATGGAAGTAGTGCTCCGAGAAGCCCCTTTTCGTGAAGAAACAGCACTTCCTCTATGAACAAGTATTCTGCGGATCTCACCGTGGTGTTGGTGGTATTTGTTTTCGTTTTTTCGGTCACTTCATCACTTGGAACAACCATTGCTCCTTGCTTTTCGGATCCATTGTCATCGTCGTCATCGTCGTCCTCCCCGTCCTCCCCTTGTTCGTTCCCCGACAAACCGGAAACCACCGTGACGCCAAATCCGCCCGACGCCATCGCCTTTCCCCTTGACCGGACCACACGGAACATTCGGCATCGCTGTCTTTTCTTCGTGGCGACAGATTTCATTGTTGCTGATGCGTACGTTTGTTCCTCTTCGAGGATACAGAGGATCGGGCGATCATCGACACCGAAAGCAGGCAATCGCTGTCCTACCGTCCCGTCGTTTGACGCTACACTTTCGGACGTGCCGTTTCCAGAAGAATCAACCGTCTCGTCTGCCATTGCCATTGCCATTGCCCCGTCGCTGTTCGTATTGCTGGTCTCGGAAGTCATTAATGGGCTGGTTTTGCAATGGGATGGACGAACGTCTTGGAAATTTTCAGTTGCTGCAGCGAATCTATTTTCACAACGGTATTGCTAACAGGTGCCAGTAGCTCTAGGATAAGATTTTTAGAGATGTCAATCATCTAAGGGAGTAACTCGTACGTACTTTACTCGTACCGGTACGAAATCGTACTCGTACTCGTACTCGTATTGTACGAACCGGTACAGTGCGTATGATACGACGAAGCGAATTCAACTACAGTATCACCTAGCTAGCAGACGATTGCTTCATCACTCCCTTCGTACGAGGAATCCTACCGTACGGGGTACGAATTCATTCGATTCAATGGACGAAAACTAGATGGAACTTCGGCATAGAAATTTGTCGATCGTACAGGAACCATGTCGATTTCGATATTTTGAGAAAAATTGGATTCCCAGCTTCCCCCATATCCCTCCACGTGGCTTCATTTTTTTTCAAATTTTTCAAACCTGGATTCCCCCCTCCCCGGACTGGATCTGAAAATTGTGATCACTTTTGATCACAAAAAAATGTGATCAAGAATTTCAATTTTGTGATCAAAGAATTGTGATCAGAATTGATCACAAATTTTCTTTGGCGATTGAAAATTCAACGGATCCCAACGGACGATAAGAAATCTCTCATAAGAAATCTCTTCCTGTACAATTTCCTGTACCGTACGGTAGCTACTGAATCGATAAGAAATGTTGATAAGAAATGTTGATAAGAAATGTCAATAAGAAATGTCGATAAGAAATGTCGATAAGAAATTTCCTACAAGAAATTTCCTACTATCCAGGACTAGTAGGTACTAGCAAGAAGAAAGAAATCTCTCTTAAGGATTACGGATTAGAAGTGTGCTGTCTCTCTTGTTGGTGCCGTTGTGGGTCCAAATGGAATTTGTTACAGGACCGTTTTTCATGTCACGGCGATGAGAAGTGCCGTATGCTAATTGTTACAGGACTATTCGTTACATCATCATGAGAAGAGGTGTTGTATGCTAATCGTTACTAGCTACAGGACCAAGAAAGCTTGAAACTCTTGATGCAGGCCTTGCTGAAGCCCGCCTTCGCGGCAAGGCAGAAGGATTTCTTGTTATTGTTGTCCTTCTAGCTACTGAAGACAATTGTTGTATAGAAAATGGTTACAATTATACAGCGGCGCTGTAGTAAACCTTGCAAATCATCAGTACCAGTCGTCGAAGAGGATACAGATCCTCGCAGCACCAAACAAAGAGCAATTTCAAGAGCCGCCAAAATTAATCTAACACAAGAACAAGTCCTCGCCAAAGGACTTGAGTACGTCCACTTTGGAAAGAAGAGACAAGAAAAAGTTGCAAAGAGAGAAAACATCCGTCGGTTCGTGGGGAATTATGGTGTATCACCAATTGCTATCAGCGAAGTGATTAGAGACATTCAAACACTCGCAGGGGAAGAGCACCAAATTCCGGAGTTTAACGTTCATTATTTTTTCCTCACCTTGCACTGGCTTTTTGCATATTCTACTTATGTCGTGATGGAAGGACCATGGCATCTTTCCCGGGAAGTTATCGGAAGAACCGTTGCACAGTACACCAGAGCACTCCAAAGCCTGAAAGAACATAAGATCACGTGGTTCAAAGACGGCGAGATTGAAGAGAATGACATCTTTTTGGTGTCTGTTGATGGTATCCATTGTCGTACATTCGAGGTTCGATCTGATCCTGGAAAAAAGTGGTATTCGCACAAGTCACATGGAGCTGGCTTTGCATACGAATTGGCTATTGCTATCCGCTCAAATCGTCTTGTATGGATGAATGGGCCTTTCCCTGCTAGTAAGTCGGACATCTCAATCTTCAGATTCGGCGATGGCAACGAAGAGAAACCAGGCTGTAACTTACGAGCCTTGATTCCGATAGGGAAGAGGGCGGTTGCCGATAGTGGTTACAGAGGAGAAGATGGGAAGACTTGTGCCATCACAAGACGAAGTGATTCTAATGAAGTAAAAGAATTCAAGGCAAGAGCAAAGTCTCGTCAGGAACAATTCAACTCGAAGGTAAAATCATTCAATTGCACTTCTAGTATGTTTCGTCATGGGATGAAATTACATGCGGCAGCCTTCGAATCAGTTTGTATCTTGTTGCAGTATGATATGGAATGTGGCCAGAATACTGTATTTGAAGTCTAGGTGATAGGCAAGAAGAACACACTAGTCGATCCATCAAAATAATAATAATAGTCTAAACCAGTTATAGTACTATATATTTCAAGGAGGCGAATATTTTTCGTTCTTCGCTTCTTCTTCAATGATATTCAAACGTGCAATAAAGTCTTCATCGTTGTCGTGGAATTCTTCAATGATATCTCCTGAGTCGTCATCAACAATACGGCGTCTCTTCTTCTTATCTAAACCTTGAGCGATCTTCGGAGGAGCCTCGCGCTCTTTTCTACCAAGTTCCAGTGCATTTATCATTCTCATCTGTTTCTTCTCAGAGATGAGGGAGACGTTCCTTGACAGACGCATTCGTCTTTCTTGTTTCTTCCCATATTGATGCTTGTCCTGCTTCTGACACTTCTTCTTCTTCACTAACGATGCCTTGCGATTGAGTTGTCTTTGTTGCTTGTCGACAACGTCGATAGGACGACTCAATGCTTCAGAGACTTCTTCCTTGTCAACATTCGTCTGAGTACTAATCTTTGATGTCTTCGACGATAACATAGTGGCAAGATACTTGCGGTGGTCAATTTTTGACTGTTCTTTCTTTTCTCGACTCACTTTCTTCGCGTTGGTTGGAGGATCAATGCCAGTATTACCACCACCACCACCACCACCATTACCACCACCGCTTGGTGCATATCTTCCATCCGGATCTATTGTATAGACACATTATTCACATATAGTAAGTTTGTTAGAATATTATTCTATAATTACCACATCACACGAGGAGATACAGGTCTGCTAGTACTAACCGATTGACAACTTGGACAGCTTGTTTGCCAAGGTCTCTCTGGATTTCTTTCTTGCAGAACGGGTGATATTTTCTTTGTTCACAATCTCCATCTCCCAGACCATCCAACCAAAGACATGGGTGATACGCTCGACAGGCTCAGCATCATCATCATCATCGTCACCAAAATCTTCATCGTCAAGAGGGGAAATCTTCAAAATATTTATCTTTTCTTGACCGCGAAGCGAGATGCATCCTTGTTGAAAGTTTTGTTGCTACATTTCATGGAAGGCGGAAAGCTGAAGTGCATAATCATAGTATTGTCTTTCGCATTTGTCTTCCCACTCATTTGGGCGTCGTAGGCTTCAAATCCACGCTTATCGAGGGCGGTAAAGTTGGCCTTCTCATCCGGGTCAGCATCCCACGTCCACGAACGTTCGTTTTCATCAAAAAAAGAGGGTGAAGTTTTCAGCATCCTGATGAATATACCATTGCCCTCTGGTTGTAACCAGGCCTCGTATGCGTCCTCACTGCGGGGGTCAAGCACCGGGATGGCAACACGAAGCTTGTCTACCTGACCATAGTTGCTTTTGCCATTTTCCAAGTATTCTTCGGCTCCTTGCATTTTCCAGACGTGAATGTGTTGAAGGTTCGCTAAATCCTCCTGGCCTCTTCCAGATGCTGCATCAACAACGAGGGCGCTACTGAAAACAGCATCTTTTGGGTTGACGATAAGACCGTCAATCGTTTCACTCATCTTCGATACAGACAGGAACTCTGGTACTTGAGCTTGATTGAAATGACTTTGAATTCGGTGGAGTATTTGAAAGTCTTCCTCAGTGGCCGATCTGATTTGATTCAGAATTCCTTTTGGGATACCCTGTGCCTTCCAATTCCTTCGTGTGCTTTGGACTTTTCTTCGCAGCTTGCTTCCCTTTGAACCAAATATGTTAGGAAACGAGTCGCAGTGCTTTTTGAATTTGTTGACAACAAAAGCGTCAACAGAATTATGTGTTGATAGTTCAAAGTCAACCTGACGAAGTAGAGCAAGAATGGTGTATTGATTGAACTCTTCGTCCATTTGTTTTATGAGAGTGGTGTATCATTATGATATGGGTCGGCAGGATTCTGGAAGTGTGTTCGAAACCGAGGACGGGTCTGTTTGAAATCGAATTCAAAGCAAACCTGTTTACATCTTTGACCATAATTATTATTGTATTCTTTGCGCAAAAAATTCAGGCGGAATACAATTTAAAATTTGGTAGGACCGTTCAAACGCAGTGAAATATGCAGGTTCGATTCAAAATTGGGTTACCCCAATTCCTACGAGTAGATCTATTACTAACACTCCTAGCAGATTCAAACACAAGCGGAATCAATTCAAAATAATTCCGGAGGCTACCCCATCACCTACTCCTCCTTCTTCTTGTGCAGCTAGAACTGGGCTAAAACATTTGCAGCAGTGCATAATGCCTATCAGCACTAGAGTAAAAACATGGTCTTGCTACATCTTGCCGTACTACATCATGGTCAAATTTCTCTAGCCAAATTGTCCATAGAACCAGACCAACGATACTTCCTACTTCTTGGACAGGATCTTATTGACTGCCCTTCTCTTCTAGAGCTCGCAAAAGTGACTTATGATGATATGGAAAACAACTGCCGTTGCGGTTCCTTGAAGCTTCGGCCACCAATCGGAGTTATCCTTCCCCGATGTGTCTATCGCGGAAATCGGGAGGAAGGGCAAGATGCAACTGAATCCTCTAGAGGAAGTAGTGGTGTGGTGGTTCGAGCATTTCTTCGACAACGTCCTGCAGTTCAGTTTATAGCGACAGTAAACTCTAGCAAATCTGCAAAACGTGCAATCGAATGAACTACTACTAGTACAGAGGACACCGAACAACATAGTAATGTCATAGTAGTTTGTTTAGTCAATTTATTCTGTTCTTACTATGTGTGCTAGTCTCCTCCTGAAAGGAGTTTTCTTATCGTCGTAAGCGGCCTTTGCCTTTGCTTTCCGCCATCTTGTCAGAGCTGGATCTTGCTTCTGGTGGAGTTCTACGCAATCAAATCCAAATTTCTTCCTTCTTGTCAGTTCTAATGTGATCGTGATTGTCTTCATCGAGGATAACGGGAGCAGGATTGTCTTGGTTTTCTCTTTTGAC